GTGCCACGCGTGTCCTGCCCGCTCCCTGCCGGGGCTGCGGGACCCCCGGTGCCGCCGTGCGGGGCGCCGCTCCCCTCCCGCTGCTCCGGTAACGGGGAGAGGGAAGAAGGGGGCCCGGAGCTGCCGCCCCCGCCGCTGCCCCCCCCCCCCGTTCCCCGCGCTCGGCGGGGGCGGCAGCCGCGGGATCCGCCCCCGGGGCCTCCCACGCGCGGCGCAGCCGGGGCCGCTGCTATTTCACGGTCCCGCCCGTGTGGGCGGCGCGCAGAGCGGCGCGGCGCGGCGGAGGGAGCGCGCCCGGCCCGGCCGCGGGACCCCCCGAGCAGCGGCACCCCCCGGACCCCCCGGTTAGAGCCGGCCCCGGAGCCCCCCCGCCCCTCCCCGGCCGCCCGGCGGGGCGGGCGGAGCGGACGGAGGCGGTTCCAGGCGGCGGTGAGCGAACGGGGGGGACGGCGGGGAGGGGATGGGGCGCAGGGGGGCACCGGGCAGGGCGGGAGTCCCGGTGGGACTGGGGGGAGCGGAGGGGGACGGGGCGGCGGGGGACACCGGGCAGGGCGGGGGGCAGCAGGGGTGGTAGCCACGGGGATCCGGGAGGGTCCGGGATGCACGGGGAGAGGATGGCACCCACCGGGGGCACCGGAGGGTACCGGGGGGGGTCGGGAGGCTCGGCAGCGGTAGCAGCACAGAGGGACGGGGGGATGGACAGTGGGGGTCACCGGGCAGAGCGGAGAGCCCGGGGAAGGGGTGACCACGGTGGGGCTGGGAGGAATGGGGGGGGATAAGGCACAGGGTGGGCTCGGGGCACCGGGCAGGTGCGGGGATGCTGTGAGAGGATGGCCCTGGTGGGACTGGGGCGGGGTCACCAGGGAAGGGTGGCCCTGGTGGGATCCAGGGGACCCACAGGGGAACAGGGCACGGCAGGGCAGGGGGATATTGGCCATGGAGGGATTGGTTCTGGCACTGGCACTGGAACATCACCCCTGGGTATGGGGGGCTGGGGGAAGCCCCCAGATGCGTGTCCTGCCCTGTGTGAGGACCCGGCATGGAGGGGATGCTGGCTGGGGTGGGCACAGACTGGGCACAGCCCAGGGTAGGGGTTGGGGTGAGGGTGACCCCACTCGTGTCTGTGCCACGTCCAGGGGCTGTGGCTGCAGGGACCATCCCAGTTTGGAGCACATGGGTGGGACTGGATGCCCTGTGGGGTTTAGGGACACTGGAACACACGGGAATGCTCCCTCTGCCCTGTACCAGGCCTAAGGGTGGGGAAGGGCTTTCTCCTGCATGTCCATCTGTCCGGTGGTGAGTCCGTCTGTTCTCTGTCCACCTCCACAGGCTCGTCATGGCCCTGCCCCGCACGCTGGGGGAGCTGCAGCTCTACCGGGTGCTGCAACGTGCCAACCTGCTGGGCTACTACGAGACCTTCATCCAGCAAGGGGGGGACGACGTGCAGCAGCTCTGCGAGGCGGGCGAGGAGGAGTTCCTGGAGATCATGGCGCTGGTGGGCATGGCCACCAAACCCCTCCACGTCCGCCGCCTCCAGAAGGCCCTGCGGGAGTGGGCCTCCAACCCAGGGCTCTTCAGCCAGCCCGTGTCGGCCGTCCCGGTCAGCAGCATCCCACTCTTCAAGCTCTCCGAGGCCGGTGGGCGCAAGGCACTCAGCAACGGGCACGCCAGCCCTGGAGAGGCAGCGGGCAAAGGGGGTGGCAGCGCCGGGACGCCCCCAGCCCGCAGCCCCACGGAGCCAGGGGAGAAGCTGTCGCCATCAGCAGCTCCACCGTGGCCGGGAAGGAGCACCCCCGAGTCGGAGGGTGGAGGGGATGAGGAGCCCGGGGGTCCCCCCTTCTCTCCGAGCGGGAGCAGCGGGGAGCAGGCGGTGGGCACGGAGCTGGAGCCGGAGTTGGCACGGACGGTGGTGGAGAGCGTGGAGAGGCTGCTGCAGAGCTGCCCTCGGGGTGGCGAGGCCGAGCTGAGGGCGCTGATGAAGCTCAACAAGAAGCTGGCCAAATCTGTGGGGCACATCTTCCAGCTGGAGGACGGGGACCGGCAGAAGGAGGAGGAGATCCGGCGGCACAGCGCGATCTACGGGCGCGGCGAGGCCCGGCGCCGTGAGGGCAAGCAGCTCACCCTGCACGAGGTGAGTGAGCTCCGTGCTTGGAGTTCTGCGATGCGCTGGCTTGGGACATGGGACAAGGAATGGGGTGGCTCTGGGGGTGTGGTGAGTGGGTGGGATTTGAGCTCTCCTCCCACGCCAGGCTGGAGCTGGCGCTGCCTTAGCCGAGGGTTGTGTGGGTGGTGCTGTCCCGTGGGTGCTGCCGTGTCCCTGTCCCCGCTCACGCATCGTTTCTGCCCCCAGCTCATCATCAATGAGGCGGCCGCCCAGTTCTGCCTGCGGGACAACTCGCTGCTGCTGCGGCGCGTCGAGCTCTTCTCGCTCTCACGGCAGGTGGCACGGGAGAGCACCTACCTGTCCTCGCTCAAGGTGGCCAGGTGAGCCCCAAACCCCACCCTTGTAGGCCTATGGGGGTCTGGTTGTCACCCCATTGCCCCCAGCACTTCTGGATGGGGCAGGACCCTGTGGCCCCCAGTTCCCCTTTGCCAGCGTGGGAGGTTTCTGCCTGACCTCGGAGCGTGGGACGTGGGGAGGATGGGAATGACGGGGATGCCAGGCGTGGGAAGGGATGCCAGGCAGCAAAGGGATGCCGCTGGGGATGCCCTATCTCCTGCCTCCATCCCCAAAGTCCCCTGCCCACCGTGCCAGCGCTGCCTTTTCCCTTTGCTCTCCAGCTGCTTCCCTCTTCTTCCCACCCCCAATTCCATCCGTGCCAGAACCCCACCTGCCTGGTGGCTCTGCTCACAGCCTTGCTGTGGCCACCCCCACGCCTGACACAGCCCCTTTCCACCCCCAGGGCCCATCCCGAGGACAGCGGCGCCGTGGTGGCCAAGCGGCTCAAGCAGGAGGTGGGTACAGGTGCAGGGGGAAGCAGCGTGTGCAGGTGTGCACACCTGTGACCGTGGGCGTGACGCTGCAACGTGCCCGGGGCTGCCCATGCCAGCGCCGTGGGTGTTGTGGGGTGGGTGGTGCAGGGGATCTCTGCTCACCTGTGTGCTCCTGGCAGGCTGGAGAGCAGAGCCGCCCTGAGCTCCTGGCACTGCCGGTGGGGCTGGAGCCGCCCGGCGCCGGGTACCGAGCCAGCTTGGAGGAGGACGCGGGCAGCATCTCCGGGGAGAGCCTCGATGGCCATTTACAGGGTGAGTCTGCGGTTTCTCCCTTTCTCTGGTGGTGCTCGGCCCCCTCTCCCCGCGCTGATTGTCGCCCCTCTCTCGGCAGCGGCGGGCGCTTGTCCCCGGCTGACCCCTCCGCCCGGCGCGGCCCCGGACGTGCCCCTCGGCCTCGCTCCCCACGGGCTCTGGAGCCGCCACATCCTCCAGCAGACGCTGATGGACGAGGGGCTGCGCCTGGCCCGCTTGGTCTCTCACGACCGCGTGGGGCGGCTCAGCCCCTGCCTGCCGGGGAAGCCCCCGGGACCAGGTGAGCCCCCCGAGGGGCCGGGGGGGCTTTGCCGCGGGCAGGGGTCAGGAGGGCACCGCTGCCTTGTGCTGTAGAATCGTGTCCTGACTTCATCTCCCGTGTTCTCCCCGCAGAGTTCGAGGACGGGTTGGCGGAACGGGGTCCTCCGGCCCCCCCAGACCCCCCTCGGGGCACCATCAAGGTGGAGCAGGAGACCAGCAGGCAGTGAGGCCCCCGTAGTCCCCCCGCCACCATTAACGAAGCAATAACGTGCTGGGGGACGGGTGCGGCGGCGCTCCGGGCCCCGGGGAGCTTGGGGACGGGAGGGGGGATCTCATCCACAACCCTCCCTGGCCCCCCTCCCGTCCCACAGCGACGCTCTGGTTACCTCAGCCGCGGCGGGATGCGAACTCCCCGCAGCAGCAATACCCTCATCCCGCCCGGCTCCGCTCTCCCAGGGCTGGGGAGCCCTCGATGGACTGGAGCCCACCCTGTAGAGCCCCGTGCTGACCGTTCCCCCCTCCCCATCACAGCTCGGGGACAGACGCGTCGCACTGTGCGCTCCCCCACGTCAGCGCTGCCGCCCACGCCGGGCACACGGTCCCCCCACACACACACCCGCACCCGCAGCGCCCACGCAGCAGCCGCCAGCCCCCTCCCCGCAGCACGTGCCAGCTCACTGTGCACCCCCCCAAGCCCTGCGACCCCTCCCCAGCACCGAATCGGCTGTAAATACCCCCCACACACCCACACCCCCGCACGCATCCCCCCCCCCCCCGCGCCCCGATACCTGCGTGTGCTTCCAGCATGGTCCCTGTTGTGCCGGGGGGTGCCACACGTGCCAGGGGGGTGGCACCCCCTCCCAGCACGATGCAGGCGGCTTTGATGGGCACTGGGGAGGTGCTGTTCCCCCCACCCCAAAACCCCTCCTTATCCCCCCTCCCATCCCTACAAACCCAGCCCCGGGGTTCCCATTCACACCCCCACCCCCCCGTTAGGACTGTGTGGTGTCTTTTTAGAGCATTAGCGACTCTTCCTTTGTACCGTGTACAGTAGATTATTTATTTTGTTATTTTGGAATAAAACTTTATTTTATGGCTTATCTTCCTACCCCCCTTGCTCCAGCCTGGAGGTGGGGAGGGGGAGTGACGAACAAAAAACCCCAAAGCAAGCGCTGACTGCGGGGGTGCGGGGAGGGTCGTGTCCCCCCCTTTCCATGGGGGTCCCGGTGTGTCCCCCCTCCTTTGCCGGGGGCACCGGGCTGGCACCTCCGCCCCGGCGCCGTTCGCGCTGCCGCCTCCCGCCCCCGCGGTGACTCATCCCGGCGGGCGTGGGCCGGGGGCACCGCGTGCGGCTACTGCCGGTGCCCCCCACGCAGGACGGGGCCCCCCTAAACCCGCAGCCCCTCACCCGCGGACCCCCGGGAGGGCGGCAGCAATGCACGGAGGTTGGGGGGGGGGACAGGGGTTACCCCAAATCCTCCCAACCCCGCCTTTCCCAGCTGGAGTTTTCACTCCTGCGGGAGTCGTAGCAAGTCCATGAACCCAGCAAGGCTGGGAGGGAGTTGAGGGGAGGGGGTCGCAGTCCGATGTCCCCCTCCCCTCACCAGGAGCCCCCTCACGCGTGTCCTGGCCGGATGCTGTCATCCCACCGTGCGTCCCCCAGCCCCCAGGAGGACAGGCTGGAATTGGGGTACACGCTGTGCTGCTGGAGGGGGGCAAAGGGGGGCAACGGGGACACCTCCAGGAGCTGCTCCAACTCTGAGGCTGATGGCTGATCCATGTTGGGCGACATCCTGGGGACAGAAGCAGCAGGGTGACGGGGTGGGGACTGGGAGGGGCTTCCCCCTGCTGCCCCCTCCCCGTGCTTACCACCGCGGAGGGCTCTGCAGCGACGCGTCCTCCATGAGCGGGAACGGGGGCAGCTCGGGCATGTCCACGTCCTGCGGCTCCGCTGAGGGACCCGCGGGCAGCAGCTGCGGGACCTCCCCGGGCAGGAACTGGTTGGGCATGAAGGGTCTGGGGTGGCAAAGAATGGGCTAGAAACTGTCCCCCAGGGCACTCACCAGCCCCAAGGTATTGGGGGGCACTGCTTGGTTTATGGGGGGCTGGTATGGGGCTCTGCCAGCTTGGCATTGGGTGGGGAGGGGGTAAAGGGGTGCACAGGGCATGGTGCCCCCCTTCCACCTGTGTGCCAGCTCTTACCCAGGGGTCCTGAAGGCAGGGTCCTGGCAGTGGGACAGCGAGGGAGGCGACAGCATCTGTGATGGGCTGTGGGGAGCAGGAGCACTCAGAGAGAGGGGAACACCCCTGAAATGTGCTGGGGGTGGTGGGGTGTCCCCCGTGCCCCCCACCCTGCCCTGCCCTGCTCCTACCTGTGGAAGGGGGGGGTCAGCCTGTCGGGCACCGTCATGATGCTGCTCTCAACCGAGGGGTAGCCCCCGGGCATGGGCTGGGGGCAGAATGGAGTGGGGGAGCTGCAGTGCACACACACAGAGGTTCAGATTGAGAGGGGGGCACTGCCACAGCCCCCACCCCACGCCCCGCAGCAGGGCACTCACCACATGGGGCCCAGCAGTGGCTGCAGATTCTCAGGGTGCAGCTCGTGCTGCAGCATGGGCAGGTTGAACATCTGGGCCTGGGGGGCCTCGGGGGGGGCCCCCATGGTGTTTGGAGGGTGCTGGTCCCTGCAAAAACACGTGGAGCCCATCAGCACTGCCAGGTCCAGGCTCAGGGGGGGCTCTGAAGGGGGGCATGTGCCAATGGGTGCTCAGGGGGGCTCTGAAGGGGACATGTGCCAGTGGGTGTGCAGGGGGGCTCTGAAGGGGGACATGTGCCAATGGGTGTTCAGGGGGGCTCTGAGGGGGGACATGTGCCAATGGGTGTTCAGGGGGGCTCTGAAGGGGGACATGTGCCACTGGGTGCTCAGGGGAGCTCTGAAGGGGGACATGTGCCAGTGGATGCTCAAAGGGGGCTCTGAAGGGGGACATGTGCCACTGGGTGCTCAAGGGGGGCTCTGAGGGGGGACATGTGCCAGGGGGGCTCTGAAGGGGACATGTGCCAGTGGGTGCTCGAGGGGAGGGTGGGAGGTGCACAGACATGCCCAGCACATCCTGAGGGCCCACAAGGGGCTCTTTGCCACCAGCACAGCTCTGTTTTCCCCAGTCAGGCATTTCCCCCTGCTGGCCGGGGGGGTCTGTGCAAACCCTGGCCCATATGCACACACCTCCAGCACAGAGATGGCCTCACACCCACCTTTCACTCTCCACAGTCATCTTGATGGCAGTGGAGACGTAGCCCCGGCCGTCCTTGCCTGTCTGCTCTTCTGCTCAGGGAGGAGAATCATCCATGAACCACCAACCCCACCATGCCCTGCCAACCATCTCTGCCAGCCCCAGCTGCCCCTGCGAGCCCTGGGGCCACCTGGGTGACACCCATAACCCTCCTCAGAGCATTGCTGGGGTGCAGAGTGTGTGTGACACCCTGAAGTTCATGGCAGAGGTGCAGACCACCAAGGGCTCCTCAAGGAGCACTACTTCTTCCTGGCCCAGAAGATGTTCAATGAAGAATAGCAGGTAGGTGAACAATTTTGTAATGTAGGGGTCTGAGACCATATACCTTGTAGGATAGATCATGATACGACCAGTGCAATGGGGAAGAAGGTAAGGGAGTAGAAGTCTTATTTTTAGGCTGATGGAGACTTTGAAGTTTATAATGAATTTTCATTCTCAGAAGGAGGTGAGAGGATGGGCCCCTGCAGCCCAGGGCCCATCCAGGCCCTCCTCACTCACGGTTGCAGTGACTCCCAAATGCCTGGTCCATAACCCCCTCAGAGCATTGCTGGGGTGCAGAGGGACACCCCAGGACTCACCCAAGCCCTCCCCACTCACTGTTGTCAAAGGCCTGGTCCATAACCTCCCTCACAGCATTACAGAGGGGCACCCCAGGGCCCATGCAGGCCCTCCTCACTCACTGTTGTACACCTGGTCCATAACTCCCCCTTCACAGCATTTCTGGGGTGCAGAGGGGGAGCCCAGGACCCATCCAGGCTCTCCCCACTCACTGTTGTAGTGACTCCCAAAGGCCTGGTCCATAACCCCCCCTCACAGCATTGCAGAGGAGCACCCCGGGCCCCATCCAGGCCCTCCCCACTCACTGTTGTAGTGACTCCCAAAGGCCTGGTCCTTGGGGATGTTGGGGTACAGGTTCCGGAGCTGCGCCAGGTCCCGGATGCGGTCGCCCAGGGAGCGGATGGACAGATCCTTGGCAGAGAAGGGCTGGATGTTTTCCACCTGGCTGGAGCCTGAGCGAGGGGAGACACGTCACTGCATTCCAGTGCTGGTTCCTGGAGCTGCCCACACCCCCTGGCAGTGAGGACCCCTCCCCTGCACAGCACCTGACCCCGGCTCACCGTCCTTGCCCCGCATGACGTAAGCGATGGTGACGCCCCCGATCTCGGAGTCGCTGAAGCGGAGCAGGAAGGTCCCATCTGGCTGCAGGCTCAGCAGCTTGCACACATACTGCTTGCTGATGAAGCCCATGATGAGCCTGGATGGGTGGGGAACAGGGATCAGGACCACCCATGGCAGTGGGGTGGGATCAGGACCCCCCCAAAGCTCAGCCCTGGGGCACCCACCTGTCCGACCAGTAACTTTTGAGGCATCTCTTGGTGAGGTCCAGGACTCCATCAAACCACTGCCAGAAGGTGAATCCTCGGCCAGGGAGGATCTCCTGAGGCAGAAAGAAGCCATGAGGCTCCCCATGGCCATGCTGGCCCCTGCCCACCTTGGCCATCCCTCCCAGTCACCTTGTTGAACTGGGCCCAGGAGACGTGGCGGCTCTGGAAGTCCTCAGGGCTGGCACTGTGGTCATTGAAGATCTTCTGGGCCAGGAAGAAGTAGTGCTCCTTGAGGAGCCCCTTGGTGGTCTGCACCTCTGCCATGAACTTCAGGTTCAGGGTGTCACACATCTTGTCCCAGGGCACCCGCTCGGCCACCACAAAGGGCACCCGGTCCTGCGGCCGGGCAGGGGGACATCAGGACAGGATGCCCACCATGTCCCACCCTGGGCTCCTGCTCCCACATGCACTGGTGGGAGTGCAAAGCCCAGTCAGCCCCAGGTTCCAGCTCCTTCCCTGCAGCTGGTGGCACTCACAATGTCAGAGAAGGCGTTGTCCCACAGCACGGTGGCTTTGGCGTTGTTGTCCTGGTTCCCGTGGACGATGACCACAATGGGCAGAGACAGGACCTGGGGGCACACAGTGACCCTGAGCCAGGCGTGGTGGCTGCCCTGGGATTGAACCAGCGTCCCACAGGGAAGGCTCAGCACATCCAACCCCATCCCATGGTACCTGGAGGTGGATGGAGATGTTGCTGGGGGTCAAGGTGACGTTGGTGCTGAAGAGGACGGCGCATTTCTCCTCCGTCACCGACTCTGAGCCTTTCCTCTCACAGCGCTTGATCTTCTTCAGCAGCTGGGGAGGGAGAGCTGAGCATCCCCAGCCTCAGGACCCCCAAAAACCCAATGCAGCCCCCAGTCCAGCCCCTAGCTGGTGGCACTTACCACGTTTTTGAAGTTGGCACAGCAGTTCCCGCTGGTGGGGTTGGTCTCCAGTGCCACCGTGTTGTGCAAGATCTCCCCCGTGCTCTCACTGGGTAGAGAAGGGGATTAGGGGGGGAATGGTGGTTGGGAAACCCTCTTTCCCCACACCCGCTGCTCACCTGAGGATGTTGCTGTAGTTGCTGAGCTCCAGCTCCCGTGCCTGCTTCTCTGTCACCATGTCAGCCCTCACCACGTAGGGCTTGGGCAGCGCCTTCAGCAGCCGCGGGCCCAGCAGGAACCGCACGCTCGCCTGGAACTTGGTCTGGGTCTTCAGCACCTGTGGGGGCTGCTTCTCCACCAGGAAGGAGCTGAGGGACAAAGGGACACCGTGGCACTTGGCACAGCCACCAGACCCACCTCAATCCCTGGCCACCACAGCCCCCAGGTGTTACCTCTTGACCAGGCTGGACAAGACCTCGTTGAAGCGCTCCAGGAGCCGGGGCAGCAGCTCAGGGCCCAGCTCTGTGCTCGCTGCCATCACCTGCTGCTGCAGCTGGAAGTAAACCTCGACCAGGTTCTCACACCTGGGGAAAGGGAGACACTCAGCACTTCATCCTCACTCACCTGGTGGTGGGAGCAGGTTGCTCAGGATCCCCCAGCTTTGCCCTGTTCCCCCTCACCTCTTCTGCAGCGGTGCCAGATTCTCCTCAAAGATGGCCCCATTCCCTGCCAGCTGCTGCTGTCTCTTCCAAATCTGGATCCTCTTCAGGACCTGCTGTTTGGCCGCCTCCAGCTCCTTCACAGCCTCCAGGATGAGGGTGGGCAGCTCCCTGGGAGCCATGGGGCTCTGCACAGCCCCATCCCGCCCTGGCCCCTCCTCCTGGAGCGCCTGGATCTCCCGGACTCGGTGCTGCAGCCGCTGCAGCCCCAGGCTGAACTTCAGCTCCTCCTGCCGCCGGTGGAAGCTGAGAGGCAGATGATGGTCCTGGGGCAGAGCAGAGACGGGTCAGGGGGGGTTGTGGGTGGCTCTGCACCTCGGGGTGCCCGGGAGGAGGGCAGGGGGCACCCACCCGTTTGAGCACGGCTGCCTTCTCGCCCTCCAGGACGGCTCTCACGACGGCCACCAGCCGCAGAGGGTCCCGGCAGAAGGTGCTCTGGGGAGGGGGACATAAATTGGGGGTGTCAGAGGGGACACAACACATGGCCCCTGCTCCTTGCCCCTTCCCACCCCACCCACAACACCTCAGCAAGGTAATTCAGGGGTTCTGTTACAACCACAGAGGTGATTTCCAGCTTTAAAACCACTTTAAATGGTGCACAGAATCATGGGATATCTGGAGTTGGAGGGAACATCAGGATCATCGGCTCCAACTCTATTTTTTTTTTTTTGGTATAAAAAGTAGAAGAATCAACTTCAAATAGAACAAAAAAAAAAAAAAAAATCCAAACTGAAAGGATTCCTGTGAGCATTTCCTCCAGCCTCCAGCCTGACACCTGGGGGAGACTCTCCCAGCTGCCCTGGGTGGATCAATGCTTTCCACTGACAAAAAACCAGGGAGAGGAATTCCCCTGCTGGCTCTGCCTCCCGTGTCCCCGTGCCAGCTCCTGCGGCCTTCACGCATTTCCCAAATTAGCAACTTCCCAAAACAGCAGCAGAAACACTATGGGGGAATGGCTGATGACGTGCTTGGTGGGTTCCTGTGCCGGTGGGAGCTCCAGTGTGGGGGTCTGGATGCAGCCCCGTGGGCTTTTCCAGGGAAAATCTGGAATTCAGGGGATGAGAAGCCCAAGTGTGGCACCCTGTGGTTGCCCATCCTGGGGGTCACCTGGTCACAGCAGCACCAAGAGCAGGGAACAGCCTGGTTGGGCATGGAGGAGTGAGGATTTGGTGTTCTGGGATGAGGGATGGAGGGAGGAGTGAACACAGGAGGGCTGCTCTGCGTCAGCCTTTTAAATAATAAAAAATCCCTAAGCTGAAACATCTGCTTGTTTCCTACAGCAAAAAAGCAACAAAGCAACAAAGCAACAAAATCTTGTTTTGAAAAGTCACCCTGTTCCCCAGAAGTTGTGACTAAAGCTGATCCCTTCCCAAATGTTGAATATTAAAAAGGTCTGTTACCAAAAAAAGAATTTTCAACCAGAATGGGGCTCTGGGAGTGAGCCCTGCTCAGCTGTGGTGCTCTGAGCTCCACTGGCCAGAGGAGATAAATCAGAGGGTTGTGAAAGAGACAGAGCAATTCCAACAGCCTTGATAAGAGAAAGAGCACCAAAAATGAAACCCAGAGCTCACGGCAGGAGGAAATGCAGACCCACAAAGCCTGGAGGAAGGAGAAATCAAACACTCGAGCAGAAAATGGGGAACATCTGCAGAGACAGCCCTCAGGTGCCAACAACTGGGGGCTGAGGGGCTCAAGGGGTCCCCACAGGACCATTTCAGGGAAGATGTGGCTGCAGAACCTCAGACAGCAAAAAAAATCCCAAAAACCCAATTGCTGAGTCTGTTCACTGCTCACAAGCCTGGAAAATTTTGTCACACAGGGACCATCCTTAGGCATTGAGCCCTTCCAGCATAAAATAACCAAGTTTTCCTGGGAGCTGGCTGCAATCCCAGCGTGGCCCAGCCCCAGGGTCCCTGCACACCTCAATGTTGCTGACTTGCTGCAGGATCTGGCACTGCTGCCCGTCGCTGCCAGCAGCGCTGCGGAGTTTGTCCAGCATGTCTGAGAGCATCCTGCTGGCCATGCTGGTACAGAAAGCATCTGAGCCATTGATGAACTCCCTGGAGAGGGGAAAAGTTGGGAGAATGGGCATGGATCCCACTTCTACACCTGTGTGATCCTCAAGTTCCAGGCAGGAAGGGTCCAGGGGGACTCACCAGGGTTGGTTCTCCAGCCACTCAGCCAGGAGACAGCGCAGGCTCCGGGGAAACTCCGTGGAGAAGCTGCTGAACTCCTCTGGTGGCATGTGGGACACGAGGTTCCACAGGGACATCGTGGAACAGTCACCTGCAGGCAGGAGAGGGGATGGGGACCACTTGAGCAGCCCCCAGCCAGCCCTTGAGGGTCAAGAGCTGCTGCTTGTCCCTCCACGTCTGAACCTGCTGCTCCACTGGGCTGGGGCTGCTGGGGAGGAGGAGGAGAAGGAGGAGGAGTGGGAAAGTTAATCCAAGATCAGCTGCTTGGGCAATGCTGGGCGGGCTGGCAGCCCACTTGTGCCTCAGTTTCCCGAATCTCTGGGGATTCCCTGCTCCTTTTGCCACAAGGATTTTCAAAGGGATGGGCAAGTGCTGTTGGATTTGGCATGGGAGAGCTGGAAGAGTGTGGAACTCCTGGGGAGTTGGAGAAGTGTGAATTTCCCCAAACTTGGTGAGGCTGTTCCACTGGGGTGACCCCAGTGAGGTGGCTTGGCTGTGCCCCAGAATTTCCTCAGGTGTCCCTCACAAGGAGGGCCCCTCACACTTGGTGGGCTCCAGAGATCAGGAAAAGCAAGAACAGAACTGGAATGAGGTGCTAGATTGGGAATTCCACTTGGAATGCCCAGGCTGGAGGCCCTCACACTCAGTGGGTCGCAGAGATCAAGAAAGCAAGAACAGAACTGGAATGAGGGAATTCCACCTGGAATGGCTGAGTTGGAGGCCCTCACACTCGGTGGGCTCCAGAGACCAGGAAAAACAAGAACACAACTGGAATGAGGGGTTTCATAGGGAATTCCACATGGAATGCCCGGGCTGGAGGCCCTCAGACTTGGTGGGCTCGAGAGATCAGGAAAAACAAGAACAGAACTGGAATGAGGGAATTCCACCCCAAGTGGCTGAGTTGGAGGCCCTCACACTCGGTGGGCTCCAGAGACCAGGAAAAGCAAGAGCAGAACTGGAATGAGGCATTACACAGGGAATTCCACCTGGAATGCCCGGGCTGGAGGCTCACGGCCCCACCGCACCCCAAGGTGGGCGTCGGAACCCCAACACTCCCAGCCCGTCCCCTCAGCACTGCCCGCGCCTCTTCCCGGCAGCTCCCGCCCTCGCTCCCGCCCCGCTCGCCCCCTCAGGCTCCGCCGCAGCGCCGCGGGCCCGCCCGGCCAGGGGGGTCTCCAGGCGCACACACACAAACACACACACACACCTCGCTGCCGGTTCCGCCGGCCCCGCCCGGGGCCAAGGCCCGATCCCGCGGCGGATCCCGCAGCGCCGGCGGCGTCTCACAGCCCAGCCGAGGGGCCGGGCAGCGGCGGGACCCCCGGGGCGGCGCGGGCCGGGCCCGCCGTGCCCTCAGGCGAAGGGGCGAGCGCGGAGCTGCGGGCACGGCTCGAGTCCCCCCGCGGGCAGCGCGTTGTTCCCCACGGGCCTGGGCCGCGCGGAGCCGCCGAAGGCGTAGGGCGGAGGTGGAGCTGAGAGACTCCGAGAAGCCTGCGAGGGGAAGGAAGCCGGCGTCACTGGGCAACGTCGCGGCCGGAGCAAACAAACGCCTGCGGCCTGCCCGGAGCCCTGAGGAGGGAGCAGCCCGGGGCTCGCCAGCCCTCACGGTGCCACCCCAGGAAGGCACCGGTCATGGTGGCTGCAGGTTGACGCCTTCCAGAAATGCTTTTGCTTTCGACTTCACGCTGCCCGGAGTAAACAGATTCCAAGGATTCACTGCAGGGCATGAGGTGACTCCCAGGGGTCAATGCCCGGTGGGAAACGCACACAGCAGTTCTGGGAATGCTGCTGGGCTTTTCCCCACAGTCCCAATGGGATTCTTGGCAGGAGGGGGAAAAACAGCCTCTCCTTTGCCACCCTCGAGGTTAATCCCCATGCTCCTTCCCCATTAAACCTGTATTTCTGCTCAGCCCTGGGAGGCAGCTGCTGGCTGGAAGCGCCAACCTGGAGCGTAAGCCTTAAGCCAGGCATGCCTGGATCTGCTGGGAGCCTGCAGGAGAAGCTGCTCTGCTCCCTCCTCCGCCCACAGCCCAGGAGGAGCTTGAGGCGGGGGATCTGCCTTGTCCCCTCCTGGCATCAATCACAGCAGCTCTTTCAGCCCAGGCGTGCTCTGAATCCTTCCAATCCCAATTTCCAGCTTTCCCTCTTCTGGTTTTCCCAATTCCCTCCTGGGGGCAACATCCCATGGGGACCCTCCTCCAAGGGAAACCGAGGTCGCAGCTGTGTTATAGCCGGGAAAACCGGCTCGACACGGGGCAGGACACAACACAACACCTGGGGAGAGGGAGACGCCGGCCCCCACCCTCTCCCCCTCCCCAAACCCTCTCCACGCAGCCACTTTCGCTTCCTCCTCCACCCAAGGGCTTTGCCTACCCGTGAGGCTGGGCGAGAAGGTGGCTCAGGAGGAGCCCAGGCTCGAAGGGGGTGCTCAGGGACCCCCAGAGTCTCAGAACGAGCTTTGTGCTGTCACTGCAACAGGAAACCTTGTTCCCAAGCTGGAAGTGCCGTAACACTCCCCGTCCTCTTCCCGGTCCCCGGGTGCTGCCGTACATCCCACGGATGTTACTCATTAACCACCAGCCCTTGCTGGCAGCCAACCTCAGCCCCCAATCCTCGGGCAGGCTGTGTTGGGGGGACAGGGATGGATCCCACCCCTGGCCATGTCCCCTCTGCGATGTCCCAGCCTGGATCTGTGATCTCCCAGCCCTCTGCACCCTCCTCACCCTGCGGGGGCACCTCAGAGCACCTTCCCTATCCTGCCCGCAAATTCCTCGAGGCTTTCTCGGATATTCCAAGGTTTTCCAAATGCTGTGAACACCCGGACTTCTCTCTGACTCTGTCCTCACCGGGAAGAACCCGAGGAACATTTCTGCCCCTCAGCGTGCCTCAGTTTCCCCAGAGTGCTGAGGACGCCACTGCTGCCAGCCGAGGCTGAGGCCAGAACACAGGACACGGTGGGACACTGGTGACAGTGCCACGAGGAGGACACCCACGTGTTGGGGGCATGAAATTTCCTCTGGTACTTAGGAAAAGGAGCGGGGCCTTCCCAGCCGACCCAGCCCAGGATGACTCACAGCTCCAGGAGCCCGGCCTGGATTTGGTGCCGCTCCCGTCCCAGGAACTCGCTGTCGAGGTCCATAAGTGGGAGAGGGGAAAGAAGGGATCTTCCTTTGCCCCATGCATGCCCTGTCCCCAAACAGTGCCCAGCCAGGAGAGTGGGGTGCCAGCAGAGCTGGGTGCCAGCAGAGCTGCATGCCATCCTCAGTAGGTGCTCCAGACTTCGGGTCGAGCTGGGCTGTGTTTCCACCTCGGTGGCCGATGCAGCCTCGGTGCCACCAGTCCCAGAGCCCCTTCCCCATCCCCATCCCATCCCCAAACACCCCAGTGAGGGCTGACAAGGGGGACCTCCCCCTTGTCACCTGTCGCACTGCCCACCCCCGGAGCAGGGAGGTGTCCTTGGACAGCCCCCCCAGCCCCGGGTATCCCCCACCCCTGGGATATCCCGTCCCACCCCAGCTCGGTGCCCCGAACCGGGAGGTGCCAAGCAGCGGCAGAGCTCCCGGTCCCGCCCGCCGTTACCTGGCGAGAGCAGCCGCGGGCGGGGGGCGGCCGCTCCGGCCGCTCCCCGCGGTCTCTCGTTCACTCCATAGCGGCGGCGGGCGCGGCCGGTCCCCGCTCCGCCGGGAAGCGCCGAGCGCAGGAAGAGGGAGGAGACGCGTGAGCGGATCGATGGGAGGGCACCGGGACCGGGACGAGTCCCGGCAGGACCTGGGATCCCCGCACGTCGCCACCGAGGGGCTGCGGCACCCACCGGCTCCGCGTCCGTCCCATATCAGCCCCCACCCACTCGTGACACCACTCTTGCCCCGTATCTCCCCATTCCTGTCCTCCTTATCAAGACCACGCTCTTACCCCAAATCCCACTCGTGACCCCCATGCAGCCCCCACACACCCACTGCTCGTACCCACGCGTGTCCCCCCGCCCCATCTGTGACACCCACTCCTGACCCTACTCCTGCTCTAATCAGGTCCCTCTTTGCCGCCCTTCCAAGCCCCCCGCCCACCCCCGTGGGTGCCCCCGGCCCATTCCCGCGGGTGTCCTGGTTCCGTGGCACCGCTGTTCCCGTGCGCACCGGGCCGTTGATCCCGGGGTGCACCTTCCCCGCACGGTTTGAACCCCGGTCCCCGTCTTGGGGTCCGTGCCCGTGGCTGGTCCCGCCTCTGCTGCGCCCTCCGGTACCGAACCGAACACGGGAGCGGGGACACTGAAAGGGGTGCTCGTTGCTTGGGGGGGATTTGGTTCTTCACGGGGGTACCTGGCCCGTCCCGGGGCGCTCTTCGGCCGCTCCGACCCCCGCGCCCACTGGAGCGGCGGGGGCAGCACGGGGCACGGCCGCCTCGGGGCCGCTAGGGGGCGCTGCCGCACCGCGGTGCTACCGGGGCGAACCGAGGGCGGCGGGGCCGGTGTTGCCGGGGCTGGGGATGCGGGACAGGGACTGGGGATGTGGGACCGTGGCTGGAGATGCGTTACCGGGACTGGGGATGCAGGACCGGGGCTGGGGATGTGAGACGGGGGGCGGGGATGCGGTACCGGGGCTGGGGATGCAGGACCGGGGGTAGAGATGCGGTACCGGGACCGGGGATGCGGTACCGGGGCTGGGGATGAAGTACCGGGGCTGGGGATGCGGTACCGTGGGTGGAGATGCGGTACCGGGGCTGGGGATGCGGTACCGGGACTGGGGATGCGGTACCAGGACTGGGGATGCTGTATCGGGGGTGGGGATGCGGGACCGGGGGTGGGGATGCGGTACCGGGGCTGGGGATGCGGTACCGGGGCTGGGGATGAAGTACCGGGGGTGGGGATGTGGTATCGGGACTGGGGATGCGATACCGGGGTTGGGACAGGGCTGTTCCTCCCGGCTCTTCCCGCCGTGGCGCCAGTGAACTCTCGGTGCTGCCATTCCCAGCATCAAACGCGCCCGGGAGTCCCGCGAGCGCGGCTTATCCACGGTGTACCGGAACATCCCGGGAGAGTGGAAACCCGTTCGGGACTGGGAAAGGGCTTCCCGGCCTCCCC